AAGTGGAAGGATGAGTCCAATTGAGGTGAAGACGAGGGCCGAAGGCCCGAAGTGACTCTAAGTCGAAGGATGAGTCCCAATGAAGGCAATCTTTTGTTCCAGGCATAAAAAATCGCTAGCGGCGCGCGAAGCGCGCCCCCAAAGCCGTTAGGCTTTCCAACGGGCAGAAGTTTCGTAATTTAAAGAACCCCCCGGTGTATTTTACCGCCACAGTGTCCTGATATCCACCCCAGTGGCCAAACCCATCACTAGTTGAGAGATTGAATAGAAGAAAAGTATAGGAAGTTTAGAAAATCAACTAATGTTTTCATATAAGATGTGGAAAGATAAGGGTTTTAATTTAAAAACGATTAGCCTTAAACTTTTAATAAATAAATATTATTTTTAAAACAAAATATGTTTGTATTTTGTCATTTATTTATTTCATTTTTACTATTTTTTTCAATTTTAAATTCTCAACCCTTTATTTTTCTTTACTATTTCCCATGGGTAAGCCAGCCAATGCACAACGCAACAACGAGAAGAATAGGGCACGAAATAAATATAATAGAAGGCTTATCGCCGTCGAGATCTAAAATATTTTCTTTTGTACGCATTGAGCGAAAAATTGAAGCTGTTGCTTCTGCCAAGAAATGGAAAAGTGAAGGGAGAAAAGAGATGCGCTGTTTGACGATTGGACACAGTACGAAATGAGAAAACCATCTGGAACTGTTCAAGCGGAAATGGGCAACGATAGAATTAAAAAATAATTAAAAAGAAAAGAGGCAACAAGTCGCTGGATTAGACTGATAACATGAAAAATAAAAATGAAAAAATAAAAAAAAAGAATACTCTCCAATCCTTTAAATGTCTGAAAAATTTGGGCCGAGATACAGACTTTGGGCCGAGATACAGACCCCCGAAAATTTAAAAATAAAAGGGTGGACCAAGCTTATTTTTCGAGCTAAAAACTCGATTAAACAAATAATGCTCTTTCGAAAGAGCTTGTCGAGCTGATTCGAATGATATCAAAATCAACATAATTGAACAAGATTTGACAACGTTATGACAAAGTAATCCTATTGTAGTCGTGAGACGCTTTTGCAAAACCTTTCTCTTTACGCAGGTTTTTTGACTGTATCTCGGCCCAAAGTTAAGACCTGGGGTTGATTTTGGTGTCATTCGACACAGCTCGACGAGTTATATAACCTAAGACTGACTGACCATTTTTTAATACTTTTAGAAAGGAAAAAGGAGGGGGGTCTCATCCGAACTATTACCAAAATTATCCATCCTTATTAAAACAAATATCTTAACAAATTGAATAAAGAGAATAGACACACAGGATTACACACAGGTCGGATGTTATTTAACAGTTAGTAAAACGAGTGGAAACCCGTAATATACTACTACAAAATATTAATTAACAAATACATTAAATTTTATTTCCTTATTTTTCTCTTCCTTTTTTCAATTTTCTTCATTTCTTATCGCTAAAAATTTTGACCCATCTGCCCCCTCCCCTGTTTTTTTCGGCAATTATATTTCAATGTGTTGATTCCCAATTTCACCTTTTTCTCCTTCAAATATTTTTATTTTCTTCTCTCCTGATTTAAAAAACTTTTTTTATTTAATTTCTACACACATTCAAGAGTCCCCCCTCTTTTTCTAAAATTTTACGGTATCAGTTCTTTCCAGACAAAAAAACTTCCTCCTCTCCGATAATCTCTACTAGCAATCTTTTCAATCATTCTATCAAATTCGTTCTCGTTCTATTCAATTTTTGGCAAAAATCCAAAAAGCAAATAAAAATAAAATAATAAAAAAAAGTACTTAAAATATTTTTTTAAAAAAATTTTATTTTCCCTAAAAAAATAATAAAAAATAAATCAAAACTCAATTTTAAGAGAGAATATACATGTTTAATTAAACTACAACTAAAAACTTCCTTAATTACTAAACAAATTTAGAAGAGAAACCCTTTTTTAGCTCTTATTAACTAATTGCGTGCTTAAATGTACTTTGAATATATAATTATTTGCTGTAATTAATATTTTGGCCAAAGAGCATACAAAAAAGAAAGTAAAGGGCAAAAAAACACCTGTCAATCTTTGTTGGATATTTTCTTACAAAAATATATCTCAATTATTTGTTAAGTAAAAACGTTCATTTTCTTAATTATTAGAAAGAAAATTGTTAGAAAAGAGTGACAAGATTAACAATAAATTTAAATTTAATTTTCAGTGTAAAAATCAATTAAAATAAATTAAAAGGAATTTTAAACTTAAATTTTAACGAAAGATAAATGAAGATTTAAAAAATAAAAAGAGTTTTCGGTTTTTATACTAAAAAGATTTTTTCTGATTTTAAAGTTTTAAACTCTGATAGCTTTCCAATATAGTAATTTTAATAAAAAAAACTTTGGTTGAATGATTTTGTTTTCAAATCTTCTCCCATTTCTTCCCCAAATTTTATCTTTAAAATTAAAGAAAAATATTTACATCCTCCTTCGGTTAATTAGCTTCTCTCTCTCTCTCTCTATTTTTCCCTTCAATTAAATTTTCAATTCCGTACCCAAAAATATATTCACATTTTTCTTACTTAAAATCTTCTTTCTAATTCATTTTTTATATTCAGTTATAGGCCGTCGATTTAATGATGATGATTGTTGATGATAAGAGAAAGAAGTGAAGAGAAGTAAAAATAAAATGGCCAAAACCTTCTCTCTTTATTTTTATTGTTTTAGCCTAAGCATCGAGATCGCGACCGGTTAAAAGTATTAAGAAAGAAAAGATGGATCAGCGGCAGGTGTAAAGGTAAAAAGAAGTAGGGGAAATTTAGTATAAAATATATATATATTTTATTAGAAATTCAATGCGATCCCTCCTTCCCCCTTCTACCCTCCCTTCCCCTTTTTTTCTTAAAAATCATCCAAAAATTGTTTTTAGTCAAAAGTCCCCAAATACTTTTAGAGAGTTTTGTTGTTGTGAGTGTGCACATTTTTGTGTAACCTATTTACCAATACATCGAAGATGAACAAGAGAGAAGAAATTGAAGAGCAAAATGTTTAGAGAAGAGAAAGAGATGAAAAACAAAAAATTTTAAAGAAACTCAAAGAGCCCCCCCTCCCCCCCCCCCTCCTTTTTTTCTAAAAAATTTTAAACTCACGAGAATCCAACATTTCCAATTCCTCATCATCTTCATCATCATCTGAAGATTCAGTACCACTATCACAATGTGCCAATGGACGGTGGGGAGGTCTAGTAGCTAATATATTTGTTGTTGGATTAGCCAAATGGCGTAAATTATTATCACTACTTGCACAACCAAATTGATAATTTCCACCAAAAGTGGGTCGAGAAGTAATCGAAATAAATTGTTGTTTTTGTTCTGAAACAGCGGCAGCTGCTTCCAATTGTGCACGTCTTGCTCTCTTTAAATAAAATTTTTTCAATTCAATTTTCATTAATTCTACCGTAGTTGGTGGTGACTGAGACAAAGCCAAAGACACAGAAGAATTTGTAAATTCAACACTTTCTTTGTCAGCCTTTTCATTTAATCGAGCACTTCGACGAGTTGTTGGGCATCCAGTTTCAGTATCTCTAAGTGGTGGAGGTGAAAGTTGAGCGGGAGGTGAAGCATCGCCACTAGCACCATCTTGTAAGGTTTGGCGTTTGAATTTGTTGACAAGTCTTCCAAGCATTTTCTTTTAACTGAAAAATAGCAAAGAAAAATTTTTATTAAAAAACTTTTTTTTACCTTTTTTTCAAAAATTTTCCAAAATAAATGTTTAGTTGTAAATTGAGATTGTAATTAAAATCAGAATTTGTCAATCTTTTCCTTCTTTTTATTGAGGATTTTTGTTATGTTGATGCTGTCTAACTCTTAATTCTAACACTGTTCTCTTTAAAGAGAAAGAGAAGTAGTTAAGAGAGTAGAAGAAGAAAAAGACTAGTAAATATAATATGTAGTTTTAGTAAGCAGAAAAAAAGCTATTTTCTGCTGCTATTTAGCGGCTGGCTGTTGTTTGGAATGAAAATGAGAATGAACGTGAAAATGTTGGAGAATTGTCGTCGCAGTCGCTTACACACAAAACTGGTAGGCGTGGCTGGAACAAACACACACACACTAAAGCAAAAGACGACGAGAAGAGTGAGAGACTTGACTGTTGAAGAAGAAAAATAGGCGGAGTCGGCTGCACACAAATAAACAATAGTGCGCAGAAAATTGTAAAAAGTAGAAACGCACGCAGTTAGAGAAATAAAGATATAATGAAGTGAATAACAAAAAAAGATTGTGGCGTATGTCTAATATTTTATTTTTTTTTGTCTGAAAAAAAAATTTTTATATTAAATTTGTGTGGGCATGACAGTTTTTAAAAAAATTATTGTAAAAGAAATACTTGGAGGGAATTATAAAGGGAATAATTTTAAAAAGGGGAATAAAAAAATGAATAAAATTTTGGGGAACGGTGATGTAGTATGGAGGATTTTGGGTATATTATAAATACATTTTTGACCAAAATCTATTTACATTCTCCTTCATTCCCGTTATTTAAAAATAATGCAACATTTCAACTTCAATGAAAAGAAATACAGGATGAATGAGAGAGAATAGCGTATTTTACCTCTCTCATTTCTAGATTTGCGCGAAACTTTTAAATAATGAAAAAAAGTATTTTTAAATAAAGAGTAACTACTAAAAGCTTTACACGCGTGCGCATGGGCAAAGGTCGTTTTTTCTGATGTGCATCTACCACTGTTTTTGCCACATAGAGGAGCAACACAATTTATTACAAGAGCTGTAAAAGTAAATAAGGGAAGTAAAAAGGCAAAGAGTAAAATAAAAAATTTTTTTCTGGGAATCCAGTCGCGATATATTAAGGATTGAAGATAATAGACTTTGTTGTGAGTCAAGCGCAACACATAACACATACACACTGTGATGGCAGAAAAAGAAAGCGCAAATGAAGAAAAAAGGCACATGCCCCTCACATATATCCTCCTCCTCACTTCCCTTCATCAATTACGGGGTGTCAGCAATAGGCACCATTGCAAATTAATTTCCTTCATGCAGGAAAGGGAAGAAGCGCCACAAACATTAACGGCACCAAACGGCCAATGAGTATCAGAAAAAGGGGGTAAAAATATGTCAAGAAAGGTGAAAAAATAGAAAAAGAATTTATGGAAGTTGTTAATCAAAAAAAGGAATATAAATAAGCCAAAAGTTATTCTCTGGATTTTTTTGGTTATAAAAAAAGAAGCTAACATTATTATATTTTTGTGAGGGGAAGCTAAAAAGGAAAATTGGGAAAAGTGTTGAGAAAGGAGCAAAAAAGAAAAATGAGAGGTCAAGAGCCAAAAGGGACACAACAGTGACGGATGGCCACGGGATAATTGAATTGAGGAGGGAAAAAAGGGAGGAAAGTGGTAAAAATGAAGCTGAAGAATGAATGAGGGAAGTATTTGAAGTAGGCGGAACGGTCGAAGGAAAAAGAATTGGGAGAAGGGGGGGGGGGAAAGAATGGGAGGAGCGAGTTTTAGACTTAATATATGGTTGTAAGGCTCCCGGACAATGCGTCAGTAGACAATGCGTGAGTGGAAAATGCGTCAGTGGACAATCGGTCAGTATTGATATAAAGTGATTAAAAGTGATGATATAAAGCGATAAAAATCCATTGATATCCCTCAAAATCGGCTGATCTCCATCTTAATCGAACCAGATAATTTAATAACTCTGTTAATCCTCCCAAACCCGAGATATAGGCCTTAATCCCAACAAATCCCTCTATATCTCTTTTAAACACCAAAATCCCGTTTTAAATACTCCTAATATGTTTATATACCATATTTAGTCTTTTTATATCATTATTTATCGCTTTATATCATCACTTTTGATCACTTTATATCAATACTGACCGATTGTCCACTGACGCATTTACCACTCACGCATTGTCCACTGACGCATTGTCCGGACACGGGTTGTAAGATGAGAAAATTTAGATGGAATATTTGGCCGGCCAGATAGTCAAAAAGAAAATTTTAAAAATAAAAAGATTAAAAAGATAAAGTATTTAATCGTAAAAAGCGCCAAAACATAAACGGCTAAAAGAACGAAGCTTTAGTAAGAAAGGAGCCTTTGACAATTTCAAAAGTTTTAGCAATGGCATAAGGAAAAATGTAAAGTTATCATCCCTCTATAAGTTATCTAGTAAATTTTAAATCATAGTTGTGTGGCCAAGGAGTTAAAGGAGTTCTTTGGCCGAAGCATTCATTCATATCTAACTTGGGGATATATTCAATTATGTGTTGAATACAAGAAAACTTGACTGAGATAAACCTGATCTTTTTAAGTTTAAAGTAATCTCCAATTTTAAATATAAATTCCAACTACCAAAATATAAAAATTATAAGGAGTAATTATTTGTGTTATTGATGATGAAAAGGGATATAAAAATAAAATGAAGGGAAACAAACAGGAAGAAGGAAAAAAAACCAAGCAAGGAAGGGAGAAATAAGGTAGTATAAATATAAAGCAATAAAGAAAATCAAGATGTAAGGAATCGAAAAAAAAAATAAAAAAAAATAAAAGGAGGAAAAATATAAACAAGTACAAATCAACAAGATGAGCGCGGAGTCGGGTGGCATGAGTGAAGATGAAAAAATTTAGAAAGTGAAGAGGATAAATTGGGGAATGAATGTGTGGCCAAGGAGTTAAAGAGAAGAAGACTCAAAACAGGCAAAAAATAAAAATGAATTCGGCGTCGGAAGAGATGAGGATGATAAGAGGAGGAAGGATGGGAGAGAATAATATAAATAGGGTGAAAGGAAGGAGGAAGGGAATGGAAGAGTGGAAGAGAACAAATATAAAGAAAATGAAGAGGACAACAATAATAAAAATAAAAACTAAATATTAGGGTTCCGAGACGACACACGCCGGCGCCACACAAAAATCTTATAATAAACAATCACCTCCCTTATGCTTTTCCTGATATACTTATTTCCCGCACCCATTTTCCCCTTACCTTTTTCATAATTCCTCTATGTGTGGTCTTTTTCGTTTATTTTTTAAATGCTTTTCCCCTCCTCTTTGCATTTTTTTAAACTTCCTCGTTCCCTTCTCATCTTCTTCCCCCTTATTTTTCCCATTTCTTTCTAAAACGCATGTTTGATGGTTTGTTGGCCACCCTGACAGCGCAGAATCACCAGCACCACCACTCATCAGTAGAATCCTCCCTCCGAATGTGGAATGAGCCGCGCCGCAGCCGTTTGTGATAGTGAGGCTTCTCTTAGCCGTAGGGTAAACATTAGATGGCGGGGACAGTGAAACGTGAGATGATAGTAGAATAAATTTTTGGGATGTATAAAAATTGTAAGTGGAAATTTTGGCCATTCGGATAGAATGGAAAAAGTGTGGCCACACACCTGGATAGAAAGAAAGCTGTTTGCTCGTTTATTGTTTGCCGTTAGTATTGTGCCATGCCGTGGAAGGTAAGGTGGTCTAAAGTCGAAAAAAGTATAAGTAGAGCATGAAATGGTAAATACATTATACAAACAAAAAGAAAACTTTTTTAGAGTTTTAATAATAAATAAATATTTTTAATAATTAGTAAAGCTTTAATTCTCATCTTAGAAAACATTTTAAATTAAAAAATAAAATGTTTCAAAGCTTTATAGGGTTTTAATTAAAGTAAAATAAATTTAATATTTATTTAAAATATTTTATTTTCGTTTAATGTGATCAATGAATTTAAATAAATTATTCTCAATATGGTCAATGAATTCCTTAAAATTTTATTTAATTAAAAGTAAATAGAATAAAAGAATGTTAAGTCTAAATTGAATATATTTAAGTCTTTTATGTATATTATTTGCATGTTATTTAGTATGTAGATATACAAAAAACATTAAAATAATAAATTGGAGAAGCCTAAAAAGGAAAAAATATGCAGAAGCAAAAAACGGTCTTTTGCAAAAAAGGCATATTATTAAGCTAGTAAATATGTAATTGGAAGGAATTTAAAAGAAATTATGTTTTTAGTGTAAAAATAGAAAAAAATTTTTTTACAAAATTCTCGGGCCCTGCTTAAAGTTTTTTTGTTGTAACCTGACCTGAATAGGTTTTTAGTACGAAAACTCTTTCAAAGAAAAATATTTAGAAAAAATTATTTTAAAAGATTAAAAATAATTTTTCTGCCTAATGAGAAGTTAAAATTACCGATAGACAAAAATTTATTTTAAAAATTAATTTTCAAAATTTAATGAAGAATCATAAAAATAGGAAACAAACTATTTATTTACAATCATTTGGGAAATTTATTAGAATTTTGTTTAAAATAAAAAAAAATATTTGGGAAAATTCTTTTCAAAAAATTAAAAATAAAAATATTTATATATGTATATTTAAATAATTAATTTAAAAATTTTCTTATAAATAAAAGTAAAGAAAAAATATATTTAATAAATATGCACTTAAGTACTTAATAGTCTTAACATCGATTTTGATAAAATATTAATAAATGAAATTTTTTAATTTGCTTTAAAAAATTCTAATTTGAGAAGGCGAGAAGGAATAAAATAATCGAATAAAGTTTATTTATTTAATTTATAAATTTGTTAAGTCAGAATAGAATTTTTTGAATAAAAAACACTAAGAAATCAAAACTCAAGGAAATCTTTCTAACTAATAAAAATCTTGAATCAAAAAACAAAAACAAATCCCTTAAGATTTAAAAAAATGGGACCTATGTATATGTTAACTCAGTCTTAGCATTGATTCTTTACTCCTCAAAAATCCACTCTTGTTGCCCGCTTCTCAACAAAACCGCCCTCCGCAGCCGTTTTCTTCTCCACCTTCTTAACAGAGGGACGACAACAGCAATATGTAAAGGGTAAAATGAGCTTGCCCGCTCATTGCGACGCGCATTTATATACGAGGTCTGTCCTTCTTAAAAGAAATGGGCAGGCTGGCAGGAAAAAATGGGCGGGAAGTTAAAAATTTTAGAAAAGACGCACTCTCTATTCTTTATTTTTCTCTAATTCTCGTTATCAAAACATTTTTAACGTGTTTGTTGTTTACAACGAAGAGCGTCCGCCCCCTCGTTTTGACGATGCTATTAATGGGCGGCGCACGTACGCTCGTTGTCTAGCCATCGAGAACTATCTCGAATAAAGAATATCTCTGTCAATTATTCTTTAGTAAAAAAAAAAAGCCCGTCGGATAAATTTTGGACAAAATGCCATTTAGAGTAATAAAATAGAATCCAGAAAGCTTTTATCTTTTTTAAAGACTTCTTCATTAATTATCAGATGTTCCGGTACTTAATATTTCGAAAACCCTTTAAATTATCTGTTACTACATTTGCTATTTTTCTGTATTTCTTACTTTATTTTTCTTTCTCTTCAAAATTCTCGAGAAACGCACGCCTTACTTGTCTTTATGCTCCGCAGCAGCGTAAAGGAGCACCGCAGAATATTAAATGAAGGTTAGAGCATCAGCGACTAACGCAAACATATGGGCAACTAGCCAACTTCTCTCGATAGTGGGCGGTACTTGTGAAGACGCATGCGCATCCCTCTCACTTCTCTTAGCCCCCCTTAATCCCTATACATTCCTCTTTTTCTTTCTCTTTCTTTTTTAGCCTCGCTGATAGTAAGCGGGCGACTGGTAGTTAAAAAAGCCTTCTGGCCAAAGACAGCTGTCACTCACCTAAATAGCGTTTCGGCCTTTGGCCTCTGCCTGCGTTGCTTACTGCCTCAAAAAGCAAATTTAGCAGCAATTGCCCCGATGCTTCAGGCATAGCTTAAAATGTATGAGGACCAAGAAGAGAGGTGAGAGTTGTTTAAAAATTGTAAACTTTTACTTCTTTAAAAGGATTTTTGGAAATATCTTTTAGTTTAACTTATTTTTTGTGGGGAAAAAGAATATTTATAAAGAAAGCATCTTTTCTTGTTTTAATATATTTCCTCGTCGAGAGTGAAGAAAAAAAAGATGAAAAATAAAAGAAAAGTACATTTGGTTTTGCTAAAATGTAATGCTATTTTGCTGATAAGCAATTCTGTAGACGCCATCATGTCTGTCATTGTTGATTAGAAAAGGACGGCGAAAAATAGTAGTAGACATTCTAGTAAAAGCAATGACTGGCTCAATCGCTGATATATTCTTTACAACACATGCAAACACATACACAAACAGCATTCGTTCAAGCACACTTTCGAATCCTTTACCCATTGCGCTTTTAAAGCAAAACGTTTTTAGTATTTTTTGGAGAGGAAAATATTTAGAGATTTGGACGTTTTGTCTTGTCTATTTTCCAATTCTCGCTATCAGTAATTTAAAAAATAAAAATTATCAGTGAAATAAAAACAGAAAAGGCAACAAAAATGAATAAATAAATAGATTGTTGGGGTTCGACTCTAATAAATTTATTTAACCAGAAACTCATATAGATAGCGGAAATAAATAATAATGGATACTCAGTTTCTTAAAAATAAATCTATTTTTAAGAAACTAAGTAACCATTTAAAAATACTTTTTGGCAGAGTTCCAAGTTTTTTCTCGATTAATTTATATATCAGTAACCAAGTTATAGAGTTAAAAGTTAGCTAAGTAAAATACTTCTATATACACCTAATCTTTATTTATTTTTTTAGAACCCCAATTTATCTTTTTTTTTCTTTTAAATCTTTACCTATTTTTCTTTACCTTATTTTTTCGTCAGCTTCTCTTTTAAAAAAAACTTTCAGGGGAATAATGTTGGGTGGTTTAAACAATTTATATCATTAAATATATAAAAAGGATTTATTTAATAATAAATAGTTTGGTTGGTTATAAGGCGATGAAAAGAGAAAAAAAAAACAAAAAAAAATTTAAAAAAAACTACTTACGATTAGGAACGGTGTTTAGTGTCAGTGACGGTTAAAAAAAGAGAAGAGAGACGTGGTCGATGATGTTGATAGGGGGGTTTTGACGGATTGACGCGCCAAACAACGCAAAAAATAAAAAAGAATTAGGGTGGCCGATCAACAATGAAAAGAAGAAAAATTAAATGGACAGTTTAAGTAAAGAAGAAGTAATTAATTGAAAATATAATAAATTAAAAGTTTTTTTTAAATAAATAAAGGTAAAAATTGAGAGAAAGAAAGAAATATTTAATAGACTAAATAGCTTATTATTTTATTTTTGAAAAATAAATTTTATATAAAGACTATTATTTTCTTTTATCACAATTGAAGGTGATTGGAATAAAATTAAAAAGAAGAGAAAATTAAATAGACAAATTTAAATTAAAAAATAATTTAATTAAAGTTTAAAAGATTAATTTAATTAATTAAAACAATCAAGAGAAATTAAAAGAAAAAAACTAAAAAATTTTTCTAAATCATTCAAATAAAGTAATCAATCAAATCAAAAAATATATTTATTTTTCTATCATTTAATAAACAAAGCCTAAAAAATATAAAAAATACCTAACACTTTCTGACCTATTTTTCTTTAAACAAAAAATTAAAAATAATTATTATTTTTAAATTAAAGAAAATAAAAATAATAAATTAATTTTTGAAAAATTAAAGGAGTGAAAATTTTGATAAATATTTTAAAAAAGAAGGTAATTAAGAAAGAAAATATATTATTCAAAATTTAAAAATAAAATTTTGTAGTAAACAAAAAATTAATTAATTAAAAAAAAAAGAAAAATGAAAGAATAAATTAATTTAAAAATTGCAAAAACAAATTAAGAGAAGGAATAATTGTAGAATGATTATAGTAGAAAAAATTAATTAAACGAGAAAATTAATTAATTAATTAATTTACTTTAGTTAAAACAAAAATTAATTTTTTTATAAAATTATTAAAAGCTAAAATTAATTTTTAAATAAAAATATATAAAATTTGCAACATTTTTTTATTTAATTTTTTAATAAAAAATTGTACAAAAAATTATTTTTTTTTCAAATAAAAAATTCACCAAAAAATTGTTTTCAATTTCCTACCCAGACACACATTTCTTATAAACAAAAATTGCTTTTTTGGCGGATGGCGCCATAGTTAATGAGAAACCCCCTCCACCAGGATGTGTTGCTTACAAGTGCAAAAAAAAAGAAGAAAGAAGTGTTTGTATGCCCTTTCTCCTCTCTTTATTATTATTTTTTTATTTTTTCAATTCACACGCAAACAAGAAAGGCAAAATTAATTAATTTTTTGTTTTTACAATTTTTAAATGAAGCTTTAAATAAAATTAAAATATTAATCTAAAAAAATATTTTTGATAAATAAAACTAGAAAAAGTAAATAATTAACAACAATTCTTTATTTTATCTAAAAAAATTAAAATTAATTTTTTTCCAAAAATAATTCACTTAAAAATTCACCAAAAAATAACCCCTCTAACAAAAATAAAAAGAGAGAAAATTACATTTTTTGGCTATTGCATTTGGCGCCTCTGTTAATTAGAGCCAAAAGAATAAAAAAAATTTTCTTCAATTCCAAATAATCACGCAAATACTTAATAAAAAATAAAAAAAGAAAATTAGAAAAAATATATTTATTTATTTTATATTCAATTGAGAAAAAGAAAATAAAATTATGGCACAAATTCCTGTTGTGCATAAATCTGGAAAATTTTTGGAAGGTTTGGTTGGGAATTTGTTTAAGTTTTGAAAACAATAAATGAAGAAAATATAGATAGATGAATATAATTTGGAAAGAATTGGCATAAAAATAAGACACAAACTTATAAATTAAATAAATTTGGAATTTTAGAAAACGGAAGACGGAAAATAATAAAAAAGATGGAATCGGTGTATTATTTTAATTTAAGCATTAATCTTTATTTATTAATCTATATATGTAAATAAATAATCTCTAATGTATTAATCTCTATTAAAATCAGGTAAAATTAAAAATAGCGGCAAGTCTGATTAATTTATTTCATCAAAAGTTAAAAAGTAAAGAGACAAAAATAAATTGAGGAAATTAATTTAAAAAAATATATTTTTGAGTAACTATTATTATAAAAAAATAAGTCAAAATCTAAAAAAATAATTTTTGTTTCTTTATTATAAAATTGAAAATATATGTATTTTTTATAAAATATTTAAATTAATTGATTAAACTAATTTAGAGTAATCAATTAAAATACCCAAAATTAATTAAATACATATTCTCTAAAAAGTTTAATTTTTACTTAAAATTTTTTATTTTATTTTTAACCCATTAATCGGATAATTGGCGCGGAATTGACGGAAGTAGTATTTATACGCGTGGCTAGGGGCTGTGGGAATTCTAGGTGAATTAATATATAAAATAAGAAAATAAAATAAATGCGCATATAAATTTAAGAAAATAAAATAAAAGTAGTGTTTCGAAAATTAGAGAGGAGAGGAGAGGGGAATTAACATTAAAGTTTTTATTTTTAAAGTTTGTTGAAATAATTTTTTTGTTAAAAAGAGAGGAATTATTTTAAAATTTAAAGAAAATACAATGTCGCCGGAAATTGTACTAATTTTAGGAAATTTTTTTCTGGGGAATATTGCAAGTTTCGGGTTGGGTTCCAAAAATTTTTTATGTTGAGATGACTAATTGGGTTGAAACAATTAATTAATTTATTTAAATTTCAGATAGCCATAATTGTTTTTTTAATTAAAAAAAATTGACTATAGCTATCAAAAATTTAATCAAAAAGCAAGGATGACCTAAAATAAATTAGTCTAAGATCCCACGCATAAAAAATGACACGAAACCCAATCCCTAATTTGAAAAAATTAAATTAGAGTTATTTCCTTAAAAGACTGCTGAAATTGTAGATATATAAAGTTTAACAAAATTAAATTAATCGTAAAAAAATTTCTTTTTTAATTTTAAGTTGGGTTGTTTCGATAAACTTTTAAATATCAACTTAAAAATATATTTATTCGTTTTCTTTACTAATACACTAATAAAAATGTTGCACTTTTATTTTTTTTCCTCGCAAACATTGATGTGAGGTATTTACTGAGAGAAGAAAAAGAAAAATAAAAAAAAAAGTTTTTTTATTTGTCTTCTTTCATTCTTCCTCTCATTCACCTCCTCTCATCACTTTGTCCTTCTAAAAAGATATTAAGAAGATTGAAGAAAAAAATAAAGAAAAAAGGAAGAGGAAAATCAAAA